CAAAAGTCAACAAGGGAATTTATGGGTACAAGCATTGCCATTATTGCATGGGGGCATGGATGGACGGGCTCTGAAAATCTTATATAATTTATATATTTTTTTATTAATAATTTTTTAGCATGAAATTTTATGTACGTTTTAATTATCCAAAAAAAAATTATGTGCGTTTTTGCATGGAGGACAAATGTATATGCCAAACTCAGCCCGAGACTTAATTTCATTACTTGATGCAGAGTAAATATAAAGTTCAAATCTCGACATTTACAACACCTTGCTATTTGCTTACTGAAAACTAATTTTATGCCAGAAATATTACAGGGATTTTAAGAATGGTATGCGTTGCACATGTAAAAGCTTCATTAATCATAAGAAACAAAATTCTAGGTTCTAATTTGGATTTTTCTTTCTCCCTTTCTATTTTCAAGTAATCAAGGGATTCTTACAGAAGATTCATGTACATTGTTACATCTTTCCATGATTTTGGAGTCCTTCACATGCCTAAAAACCCTACTCCCTTCATTGCATCTGCAGCATCTTTTCTCTGCATCCTGGAAAAACCCAAAAACTTGGATTCAGTTCGGTTTTGTACATATCAAGTACGGTTTAATTTACGCAGAGAAACATTGAAGTTTTAATAAGACTATGAACCACTAGAGGAGTCCTTCAAGCTTTCTTCTATGACGGTTTGGTCCGAAAGTCTCGTGATTTTGTCTCGCAGAAAACACATGTAGTTAGTATGTGATTAAATCTATATGTGAACATAGCAGATTCTCTAAGTCTCCCGTCTTGATCCTTGGTGTCTGGGTTATTAGTCTAAATCGTTGCTTGTAAACCCTATTCATTGAGGGAACTAAATCAAATTCGAGTAAACAATGTTCCCAACTTGTAGGAAGAATTTACCGTTAGTGAGATCGGCGGGAAGATTGAGCGATTCCTCCGCTTTGAATATGTCACCGATGAAATCCTGGACCCGAGAAGAATACGCTTTGTGGTTTACGGCTGTAATCATCCTTCGATCGAACTGCAACGACTTGTATGCATGCTCGAGTCGCTTGATCACGCTGTAGTTTTGGGGAAAAATCCACTATTCCAAAATACAGAAGTACATCATAGCACTCCCCAGACTTGAGATTTTCATGTGATGTTAGAGTTCCGATTCCATTCTTCGGTACGTGAAAACCACGAGCAGACAGTTCTTCACCGAACCTAGTAGTTTGACTGCGAGAAAGCCGATGCAAAACGATTGATTCTTCACTACACCATCTTCGAACCCCATATCAAACGAGACTTATTTTAGGCTAAAAATGCAAAAATTTACCTGTTACCTGGTAGCCACTGATCACCAAAACTCAAATCTGACTCGAAATTGATTGAAACTTTTTGTTTTTTATCATTGAATTCAATGGAATCTGCAAGGCAGGAAACCGGAATATGCATTATAAAGCTTATCGCTAACACCGTAGCAAGCTCCTCATTGCTAGAGTAACATGCCGGAAGGGTGATTGGCAAGAGAAATAGATTTTCCTAACATCTTTTAGTTCAATGGATATGACAGCATTAGAATTTAGAACAGTTAAGCTTCTTACAAAATTCTGAATTTTCAAGTTCTTGGTCTTTTACATTTTCCTTTTACTTTGCCGTTAAGCAACAGAGAATTATGATGAATGAGATGCATTTTCAATATATCACCTCGAATTGAAGCTGCGGAATACCTCTGCGAGGATAAATCACTATGATACAACGAGTCACGGGACACTCTCCTTCCATCGCTGGGACTAGTGTCAACAGAACCTGCAGAACGACAATAAAGTGAACATAAATTTCATCTAAGATATGCACTTTTCTGGAAGATTTAGTCATTTGGTATTTTCAAATAATGCAACATTGTTGTAGTTCCTGAACGCAATCTTTTTTATAAAAATGAAGATAAAAGAGACACAAAATTTACGTGGAAAACCCCTAAATAATATAGGGTAAAAACCACGGGCAACGGTAGAAGAATTTCATTATGAGAAAATAGGAATTACAACTTCTCTCGATCGACCAATGAGAAAACAATGATAATTCTCTCTGATAAAAAGAAGAAAACAACTCTCAATAAACTCTCTAAATTCTCTCTAGTATTGGAAGAAAGCTAGAATGCTTTGGGATGATTTTGAAGCTAAATGAGCTAGGGTATTTATAGTTGAAGCTTAAGGACTAATTTGTAAATATCCTAAATTACAATGACTAAATTATGATTTTACCATTGTCCAAAATTCAACAAAAACCCAATCTTTTTGACAAATTTTTTCGGTGGAATTTTTTATTAGCACCTTTCAGTGCTTGCCAAGACTTTTAAACACGGAGTCTGTAGAAAGTGAACGTCTAGCTTCCAAGAGATCTGTGAGAGACTAAAAGCTTATCAGAAGTCTTACTCTGCCTCTTATAACACGATAGATTTTCAGGCATCTTATAAAGATAGTTTTTTTTCACGAAAAGTGGGAATTTGGGAAACAAATTCACCTTTAAGTGAACCTTTTACATGGAAGCCAAGTAACATACTGTAATCCATGACACCCGCAGCCTCGAGAAAAGCACAATCATGCTTGAGTTGCCTATCAAATAAAAATACTATTGTTAATCAACCAAGGATTATGAATGTTTGGTGACACACTCGCTTGCATACACTGGATTAAGGGGCGGAGAAGGGGAAAAAAAGGGAGGGGTTACTGTTAGAATTGTATACAATAGGAAATAGGCAATTGCATAAAGATCACCTTACCATTATCAAAAAGAAAACCATGCTAAGAGAGAAGACATAGATTGATGGACTTACTTCAAAAGCCTATGTCGAACCGGTGGTTCAAGGCAAAAGTGAAAATCAAGATCCGATTCCTTATGAAGAACTTTCTCACGGAATCTCACTTTTTCGACTTTTCGACCTTGTAGGGAGCCTATAACACCGGTGCATAAACAAATCTGATTTGAACATGTTTGACACATCCAAAAGTAACCTGTTCCCCCAATTCCTAAAAATATCAGTGCAATAATATTATTAACGGCCAAAAGGAAGGGAAGCTCCAAGTTATGTTAATGCAAATTTATCCAAGACCCTTAATTTAGAATCCCTTCGTGGAGGGAGACATGCATCATGTACCTCCCGATAACCTGCATTTTTAATTTGCAGCCCTCGCAGTCATCAATATCTCTGTACTTTATTTACGTGACAAAGATCTTCGTTGGCCAGTTTAAAACTATGGATTCCATTGAAAGAAAAATGCCAGCATGAGAAATTTTACTATGACATAAAATAATGTCCCTTCTATCTTAGCACCGCCGTCCGGCTTCACGACATGAACTCCATAAACCTTGCTCAAGACCGTGCTGCAAAACCTTCTGATATGGTTACAATAGGCCGGGAGCATTTCTAGGAGGATCTACACCAAACGCATTAACCATATTCAGACATTCTTTTCTGATTAAGAAACTCAAAGATGTCAGGGCTTTATTAAACTCAATGATGACGAAGGCTGATTTCATTACACCGACTTCAGATTTGCGTAGTGTTTTTACTACAAACCGGTTGTCCGTGGACAAGATGAAGAAGTTGCCAGGTTTCAAACTTGAAGTGACATTCCTTAAAGTTTCGTCACTACAAATCGATATCATGTAACACTCATTGTTGACATTTTCGAGCTCTTGTAAAAGCCTGGCAGAGAAATTTCAACAAACAGTTTAGCGATAAAACACAACACATGATCCAACGATTAAAACATGATCAAAAATAAAAATGACAAAACCTGAAAGCTCTAGGACAATAATCTTTCCATTCAAAGGCAGTGATTGATCCTGGGGGGAGATTAAGACACTGCTGTCTGGAATAATGAACCCAATACCTTTGCTAATCTGTTAAATCCGAAGCTGAAATACCTGCATGCAGATGTCTGCTTCTTTAGGTAATAAAATCGAATTATCAAAAAAAAAAAATTACATAAATCCAATCGAATTCATTCAAAGTATAAATCTAGGTGATGAGAAAATATAATTTAAAGACTATTTGTGTACTTTCACTTTCTTATGTCTACAGACTATAAAAAATGTTTAATATCAAAATAAGTGTCTAAACCATAACGATTTTCACAAATAGGTGTCTAAAATATTTTTGACTCATCCCGATGCCTAACGTTACACGTGATACCACTTTAGGTGACGGCGTTACAAATCACAATTTGATAATTTTAAAAAATTTATTTAAAATTTTAAAAAAAATTATTTATATTTTAAAAAAATATAAAATTCTTTAAATAAACCCAAAACTTTAAAAATCTTCATTTCAACCTCTAAACTCACGCCGTCGTTACCCTTGCCATTGTTTATTTGAACTATATATTTAAATGATGTGTTATTATGTATACAAACTCTGAATTTAAGCATTTATATACATATAATGCATGTTTTTTTTGGATAATTAATTTTTATTATCCAAGGAAGAAAACTATTACAAAAATCTCCGATCACAAATCAAATGTACATCCTAATAACAAAAGAAGATCGGTTAGGCAATGTCCCAAGTGTTACAAAGGATAGTATTAATACTATCATACCTATTAATATTTTTCCCCCTCAATTTAATACCTGCGAAATCTTTGATACAAATGAAGAGTTCTTCGGGAGTTCTTGATCTTGCTTGAAAAATTCTTCGGTTTCGCTCTTCCCACAAAACATAGATTTTAGCAGTCCATGCAAGTTTAAGAATAGTTGTGCCCAGTCAATCATGTCATCCCAAGAAGTAAGATATTTCATGATTCCATTTTTGTATAAGATTTTCTCCCTTAAATGAGTGGCTATGGGACAATCAAAGAGAAGGTGGGAGTGTGATTCAAGTGCTGCACTACAGAGAACACAGGTTCCAGGAGTTGAAATTCCCATTTTTTGTAATCGGTCCCTAGTTGGGAGGCGGTCGAGTAATGCCATCCATGATATCATACTGAGTTTAGGGATATGAAGAGGGAACCAAATCAATGAATCGTCCTAATTTCCTGCCATATTTCTCTTATATTGATAGCCCTATTCGATATAGCAGGTAAAGCCTCAGCTCGTAGCTTGAGGAGTTTGATGAAACCCCAGCTGAAGATGGAGCGTTTTTCGATCTGCCAGAAATTATTTTCCTTTAGAACATATTTCTTGATCCATGCAACCCATAATGATCCTTCGCTTGCGAGGATATTCTTGATGAGCTTTATCATGCAAGCTTGATTCCATGATTTCAAATTCTTTATTCCCAGGCCTCCCTCCGATTTCAATGTGCAGATTTTTGCCCAGCTGATTCTCACTCCTTTAGCAGTTGAATCGGATCCTTTCCAGAAGAAACGGGAGCAAAGCTGCTCGATCTTATTGATAATAGCCTGGGGTAGGAGGAGATGTCTACACCAGTAGTTAGAAATGCTGAACATGACAGATTTTATGAGCTCTAATCTGCCAGCAAAACTCAATAATTTTCCAGACCACAGGTTAATCCTTGACTTAATGCTTTCTATAAGGCTTTCACAATCTTTCACTGTAAGCTTTCTTGTAATTAGAGGAATTCCGATGTATCTAATAGGCAAACATCCTAGATTTAAACCTGATAGGTGCTTGATAATCTCCACATTTTTGTTCGAAGCTCCAGCAGTGAAAAATACACATTTCGCAGCATTAAGATTCAAACCAGAAATTTCATAGAATTTGTCAAGGACTGAAATAACACCTGCAACTGACTCCACATTTCCTTTACAAAATATCAATAGATCATCGGCAAAGGATAAGTGAGTGAGCCCTATTTGCTTACATTTAGGGTGATAACTATAAAGTCCTTTAACAGCAGCCAAATTTAGCAATCGAGTCAAAACATTCATTGATAAAACAAATAGAATTGGTGAAAGGGGATCACCTTGCCTGATGCCTCGTGCTCCTTTGAAAAATCCAATCAGAGTCCCATTGAAGGAAATAGAGAATCTTGCCTCAGTGAAGCATGCTTCAATCCAGCCAATGAATAATTGAGGGAGGCCTAGTGATTTCAAGACATCAGAAATAAAGTTCCAATGAAGAGTGTCAAATGCCTTTTGAATGTCAATTTTCATAGTGCACCGTGGGGAAATGTTCTTTCTTCCGTAGCCTTTAACCACTTCCTGAGCTAGAAGTGTGTTATCAACGATGCTTCTTCCCTTGATAAATGTTGTTTGGTTGAGAGAAATCATTCCTGGGATGAGGCTATTCATTCTTTTGACTATAATCTTGGTGATAGTCTTATATATAACAGAGCAGCAAGATATTGGTCTAAAATCTTTGACTTTGCTTGGGTTAGGAACTTTGGGGATCAAGGCAAGAGTAGTTGCATTGAAAGCTGGCAGCAGAGAAGAGTGGTGGAAGAAATATTTTATGGCTGCAGTCACATCATCTCCAACAATAGACCAAGCATGTTTGAAAAAAATAGGGAGTGAATCCATCAGGTCCAAGTGATTTTTCATTTCCCTGTCCAAGGATTGCTTCATTGATTTCTTCAGGAGTAACTTCTTTGACTAGAGAAGGGGCTAAATCTTGAGGAATTGAGTAATTCAGGATTTCCTTCAGAAAATTCTGGTCAATTTCTTTGATTCTAGGGTCTGGTTTCCCAATCAATTCTGTAAAAAAATTTAGCACTTCTGCTGCCATGGAATCAAAAGATTCTAGTCTCGAACCTTGATCATCAATAAGCATTCTGATTGTGTCTTTTTTGTTTTTGACAGCTACAGCAGAATGAAAGAACTTTGAACTCTTGTCACCTTCCTTGATCCAATTCAATTTGGCTTTTTGTTTTAGAAAAAGTAGCTCAGTTTCTTCAAGGGCTAGTAAGTCTTGTTGGATTTGCAATTCTATATCAATAGAATCCTCTCCTTTTAAAGAGACCAGTTGTTGCTGTTCAAGATCAATTCTCTTTTGCTTAACCCGAGAGGAGATATCACTATAAGAGGACTTGTTTAGGATTTTGAGACTTAACTTGAGATGCTTGAGTTTTAGGAAAAGGATCCTCATGGGGTTACCATGGAATTCGGTCTGCCAGGATTGGTTAAATTCTCTCAGAAAGTTTGGATGAAGAGTCCAGAAATTGAAGAACTTAAAAGGTTTTGGGCGGTTTGTGGGAATTTCTTTATCGAGCCAGGTGAAAGCCATACAATGATCTGAAACTCCCGGAGCTAGGAATTCAACAAAAGATTTTTGAAATACATTAATCCAAGTGGGATTTACGAGGACCCTGTCGAGCTTCCTTGCAAGAAAAGTATTTGTTTGTTTGTTGCTCCAAGTGAATAACGGACCTATAAAAGGATGGTCTTGAAGATCCAATTCATGTGTAACTTCCTGAAAATCTATCATTTCGGAGCTGGAAGTAGGGTAAAAAAGCTCATAATCTGAGCTTTCGTAAGGATGGAGAGTGATATTGTAATCTCCTCCCAAGATCCAGGGAAGGTGACCTATCTTCCTATCCAATTCGTGCAACTGTTGCCAAAGCTGTCTTCAGTTGATGTCGTCGTTGCTTCCATAAACTGCTGAGATGACAAAAGAATTCCCCATGAAGCTTCCTTTGACAGATAAGATTTGATCAGAAACAGAAATAGTAGTAAAATCCAGATTTTTCTTCCAAAGAACCCATATTCTTCCGTTAGCAGCAAACTCATAATTAACACTGACATTCCAGTTGGAAAGTTTACTGCCAATGATGTCCATGGATTTTTCTGGTTTGACTCTAGTCTCTAATAAACATAAAATATCAACGTTATTTTGTGCGGCTCTAAGAAGAACTTTATTTTGTTTCAGAGGATTGTTAAATCCTCTAATGTTCCAGAAACATAAGATCATTAAGAAGGTATTCCCGAGGATGAACCTTCATCCCTGCTGTAGAACTCTTGAGACTATCCAATTTACTCTTCTTTTTTTGTTTGAGCTCTTTGACTATTTCACTTACACCCAATGAAGCCGTACGGATCTAATAATTCAATTGCACATGTTGTTTCATTTTCCGTCGTCTATCCAATTTTCACAAATATTTTTCATAATTACATCAAATTATTCAAAAATATATATACATCTAATAATCAGATTAAATAATAAAACACTCAAAATTATATAATTAAAAAAGTACTTCATTTCACTTAGAGATCACAAAAATTTTAAGCCTTTTATGCTAAAATTCAATTGCACATGTTGTTTCATTTTCCGTCGTCTATTTGAATTACATTTGGCAACGAAAAATCTTCTATCCCCTGCTTATATTTATTTATTTAACTATTTAAATTATATTAATCAAGTCACGTATAATTAATATTTGACGAAAAAAATTGATGTGATAATCGATAAAATTTATATATTTACACATTTTATATTCATTGTTTATACATCTATTAATTTGATCTTAATTTTAATTTAATTCAATAAATATAAATAAATATAAATAAATATAAAATTTAGTTCGGAAACATAAAAATCTCGAACTTATTTAATCTTACATTTACTATAATTTAAAATACATATGAAATGTATCTAATTTTAATATAATTATTAGAATTACTTCGGTGGCTTATGTGCTCCCAAATAACTTGGCTTTTCACTCAATCCTATGGATCCAGTCTTGACCGGACACTCGCCGGTTTCTGATAATTAAAGTTGTCACCGACGACTACAGGGCCGGAATGAGCAAGAACCCCATCTGGCACCACCTGATGGTGACCTTGCATGTTTCGTTGTTTCCACTTCCCTAATCTCCTTCATCGGATCGCGTCTGTACGGTTGATCATCACAGTGAAGGAATGGATTCTCGTGAGGTATACCCACTACAGAATGTGATCTCCTCACCATCTTTGATTTGGGTGCCTCTTTGATTAGATCTCGGATGTTAATGCCGGTGGCGCCGTCCATTTCCGGGACATCTGAATCCAGAAGAACCGAAGCGCCAACGTTGAGAGCCCCCTCGAACCTACCGGAAGGTCGGCGGACATGAACTGCACTGAAAGAAGGAACCCTCACGGGGATGTACGACGAACCGATACGGAGAAGGTTACTGACGAGCAATCGGACGGTGCCGACCAGGGTATCGCTGAAGATACCGACGGTGAATATTTCGATCGAAATACCGGACGTTTCGCGGTAAAGAAACTCCGATGAAACCCTGAAGAGGAACTTATCGTTCCACGTTGGGTTTACACCGCCGACGCGATCAATGCATGTGCGAACCTTGACGGCGGAATCGGTCCAAGCTAGGGCGTACGTCTTCATGCGACGGAATTTCGATGTTTTCTTGAGTCCTTGGGCGGATATTAAGGTGATCTCCAAAATGTAATTGTTTTCCATCTCATCCTTTTGTGTCCTTCCTTTCACGTTTTTATTTCCTTTTTCGTTTCAAGATTTGATCAAGAATGAAAAGCAATGGGAAGGGGTATTGCCGGCGAGAATAAAACGACGGTGGAGACGAAGAGCAGAGGAGAATTGAAAGGAAAACGTGAAGACAACGAGGAAGAGAAGGATTAGCGTCCACGGTCTCTATATATTGGCAAAGTTTTCTCGTTATTGTTGGTAGCCAAAATGCGAGAAACTATTGGGTTGTTTGGATCTGTTTGTAATTGGAATAAATTTGGACCGGAAATGCAATCTGCCTCCCAAAATTAAACAAATACTTCAAGTTTAAATCATATTTTTCTTAAAACTTTCCAAAAACAGTAAGTCATATTATGATTCTTTAATAAAATATGACATAACCCAAGATCCAATAAGTATGATCTCACTTGGATCGCCACTTCCAATAATTGCATGTCTAAATAACCAAAGAAGTAAATGTATCGTTGATACATAACATTAGGTAGCACAATCAAAATGAAGGAGAGAAAATCATCCATACGAGCAATGAAAGTTTAATGTTAACATTCACACGCATCAATTTTAAGGTGTATACAAAAAGATATGAATTTTTAACTGAGGAAAGGTCAGAAAAACGGGCAACAGATTCTGCATAAAACAGATTCTGTCGGTCAACTTTTAAAATTCACCATAAATTGTACATAATGAATTATAATGAGTTATTTATATGGATAGATTCATATTCGAGTCTAGTTTTCAAAGGAAGAAATTGAATTAAATTACAGTGTGTATATCAATACAGAATACTGATTCTTTAAAGGTATTGCAAGTTGTATGAATATAAAAATTTTAGAATTTAAGTTGAAATGGATTAGAAGATGAAGAGTATTGTTTAAATGTTGAGTATATTCTTGGATGCTTGGAATTTAAGTTAAATGGCAAGAGACCATTTTGAATAAATTGGAAATGTTGAGAAGAATTTTAAAAGAATTCATTTTAATGGTTAGATGGTGTAATTCGAAAGGTTCCAAAACTTTGGGGACTTGTTTGCAAGTTATTAAATGAAGAAGTATTATTTGAGTAAATTATTGAATGCTGAAAAATTTATTAGAATGCTGAATTAAATATTGAGTTGAGGTTGAATTACAAATTTATAAAGTTAAGTGTTGAAAATCGAAAGTTTAGGAAAGTTTGGGGTTGAAATTTATAATGTTTTGAATATTGAAGATTTGATTTGGGTATTTTATTCAAGTGCTGGAATTTTAGTAATTAATGTACAATTATCATAATGGTGAAAGACCATTATAAATTAAAGAAAAGTTGAGTTGAATTCTAGAAAGAATTTAAAACATGTGGTTTGATTTTATAATTGGTAAAAGTTGAAGAATCATGTTGGGAATAATTATTTATGGAATTGAATAAGTATTTCGATAAGTTTGAAGTTATAATGGATTTATAAGTTTGGTTGATATTGATTTAGTTATCGATTTTCAAATGTTAAAATGAGCTTATATTAGTACGATACTAATATGTAGTTCGAACAATTTTTTATGTTATAATTTGATATTGTCAGACTACGTTAAATCTAGCAATCCAAACGATTCGAAAGGAAATGACAAAGCTTGTGACTATGATTATTATATACAAATTATGTAGTGAGGCAAAAGTGAGTGCAATTATTTATTTAATTATTTTGATCGATGATGACTTGCGATAAATCAACCTCATTCCAATTTACAGTATGATTTATAAAGTTTATAAAGAATATTTTTATAATATTCTATATCAGTTTTATGAATGATTTAGGGTATGAACTACCCAAGCATGATATTTTTATGATGAATTTATTATGATACATCAGCCCATTGTGTGTTATAGTGAGAACTGTTGGTACACTTGGCATGTCATTAGTTGAGTATTATCAACTTTGATACATTCATGTATCAATGTTATCATATTAGCTTTGGTACATTCGTATATCAATGTTATCATATCAACTTTGGTACATTCGTGTATCAATGTCTAGCACTTTTGGTGCTTATTCAGGTTATGATGGCACTGAAGTGCATCATATCTCAATATCAATTACGATTTACACTGTGTTGTGCATAGTGCGCACCTTACTCACGTATCTTATGTTCTCATAAATATGCATTGGGCTATGAAAATGAATATGCAAGTTGTGAATGATTTTCAGTTGACAGAAACATGATATGCATATTTTATTAGATATGATTTATCAAAATTTTCATGAGTTCATGATTTAAAAAGAAATTTCAGGTTTCAGTGAAGAAATCGACTTAAAAAAGTTGGTTTCTCAGTTTAATGTTTTAATTCAAATTATTTTATTTATGTTTATGATATTTTGAGATTTTTCTCACCTTAAATTATTACTGCCTCACTAAGTTATACTTAGCGCGTGATGATTTTCAAGCGTAGGGTCTGATTGAGATACAAACGTTTTATGAAGAGCCTTCCAAGCATCATGTGCATATCATCTATAATACCAGTATCAGTAAGACATCATTGAATTTCCTTTTGACTAGTAGTGAAATGTATAATTATGTCCGTAGTTTCTATTTATCGTATTTATTTTAAATAATTTGTAATAGTAAACTAGAACTATTTTAGTTTATTTTACTTAGAATAGTTTTATCAGTATTTATGCATGAAAAGAATATATTATATTTTTATGTTTTTAAAAGATTTCACGAAAATACATGGTTTAGTAAAATTATTGATTAACAAATGAATTTATTTTCATGTGATAAAAAAATATATTATAGATTGAGATATACTTTAAAATATATTTTTAAAGTTTAAATACGAGTGTTTTTAAATGAAACAATTTTTTAGGCAAATTTAAGTTCAATAAATATTTTTAAGTTGATGTGACGTCTTTGATTCATATATCGAGATATATATGGGTTAAGAGTGTTACAAATTTGGTTCAATCAGTTAATACATGATTAAAACAAAAAGTGAACACTCCTAAAAACGAGAGAGAGAAAATAAAAGAAGAAAAAATGATAAAGAAAAAAAATATACTTTTATATGGGTTCAAAATTATGTTGATGTAAAATTGACTTTTTTTAAGCGATGTCATTTTGAAGTTGTGTGTCAAGAGACGGAGTTAAGGATGGGTATGGGTTGAGCCGAGTTGGATTTTCAGTCCATCTGATCTGATTTGAAAATTATAAATTTTCCATTTGAATCCGACTCGAAAAATGTACACTTTTCACCCGATCGAACTCGAACTGATTTTTTGAGATACAATCCAAACATAACCTGATCTGGAATAATATATTTATTAAAAAATATTATTTTTGTTTAATAAAAATAAGGATTTAATTAAAAGAAAATAATATATAGAGTGGTAGTATTGCAATTATCCTTAAATATATAAGATAAAATTATAATTTTTTAGGTCAAGTATTTTTCACCCTAACCTGATTTTTTAAAAAAAACCCAACCCGATCGGATTGGATCGGGTTGGAACCTGTCGGGTCAAGTCGAATGCCATCACTAGACGGAACTATATAGGGAGTGGAGTGGAAGGACTCTTGAGTCTTGACCCTCTCAAAATTTTTGTTTTAATAGTATTTTAGATCTTTATCATTTTAAATTTAAGTAAAATTAGACTTTTGCCCCTCCAAAATTTTAGATTAAATACATGATAAATTCTTATTATTTTGAAATTATGTATCTGGCTTGCCTCTCTTAATGTTTGATCCTGACTCCGTCCCTGTATGTGCCATATCATAATATTGTTAACTATTTAATGACATAATGATCAAAATATACATAATTTAAAAGTTTACTAATTAAAGTGAAAATGTTTAAATTTTAACGAGCAAAATAAGAGTGAGAGTAAAGTTTAATGAGAAATTTGTAATTTACTCAAAATTTAAAATAATGAAATGGAATCACCAAAACGAATCGAGTGAGGTGAGTCAAGTGACAACCACCGCCAGTAAACGCTACCACTTTGGAATTAGATACAACAGTGAAGCTCTTGCAGAAAGCGCGGTGGAAAGTCATTTTCCCTTGCCCTCAACTCCAAATTTTCTTGCAACAATTCCTTTTCTTTTGTTTTAAATTGTTATTTCCACTCTCGCTTTCAAGTTTGTTTAGCTATTCCCCAAAAAAATCCTAACCCCAAATCCGCTTCTTACTACTCTCATTCATTTATTAACTGCAACTCCACTTCTTTTTTGGTCCTTGGATCCTTCAATTTTCGAATTCTTCTCTACGATTTTTTTTGAGGTTTGGGGTTTGAGATTTTGATCTTCGGAATCTAATAAGAGGTGAATTAATGGAGGTGGAGTTACACAGGCCTGATAATCCCGCCATGACCTTCGACGAGGTCTCCATGGAGCGTAGCAAGAGCTTCGTTAAAGCTTGCAGGTTCATTTCTTCATTACTAGTTTCTGTCTTTTTGGACCAGATCTGGATATTTTTTCAATTTGATTTTATTTTTGTTTAGATTTTTTTTGGTTGACTTTAGAAGTCACTGCTTGATTGCTGATGGGAGATGCGTGGGAGAGAAAATGACATGAATAGAGAAATTCCCTTTGTTTCCCAACGAAATTTTTTGTTTTTGTTTTTTATATATATTTCGGCGTCTTAATAACAAGACTCCAAGGTTTAGTATCGGTGGACCGTAGCATTTATGACTGAGTTAAATGTTAGATATCTTCCAAAGCTAGAAAGTATTGTCATAGCAATGGATGAATCTATGGTAAGTTAGATATAGACTCTTATTGTGTTTATTGAAGAACAGTGCTTGCTTGATTTCCACTCACGAGTTTAGACTTTAGAGCCATCGTTTCAATCAAGTAGAAAGGGAATTGAATTGATTGAGGAGAAAAAAAATTAAAAATCCGTGCATCTGAATACAACATCTGCAAAAGTTGAGACTTCTATATGGTTTTGCTAACTTCTTGTCCTTGTTTAAGTCTTAATGAATATTTTAGCTTATGCATTTTAAAAGTTTTCAGCATTTCGTTGTTATACTAATTGATAAATTGGATCCTTGTGTTTTATAGGAGCTGAAGAACTTAAGGCCTCAACTTTATTCAGCTGCAGAATACTGCGAAAAGACTTACCTCCATAATGAGCAGAAGCAGATGTGAGGCTACCTATTTTACTTTTAAACCTGTTTAGTTCATTTTTTGTGTAACAGCCTTTACATTTTCATGCAAGCAATACCATGATTGACTTCAGAGCATGATTGGTTTGCACGTAATGCCTCTGTGGTGGTTTTTTTATCAAGCTGGCATGCTTATCCATTTGATTCTGCTTGATTTACTTTAATTGTTCTCTTCTCATGATGCCACTTTTTTCTATGTGCGACACATTTGTTAGGGTACAGAACAACCTGAAAACCTGAAAGATTATGCTGTACGTGCTCTTGTTAATGCTGTTGATCACCTTGGCACTGTGGCTTACAAGTTAACTGATCTTCTTGAGCAGCAAACATTGGAAGTGTCAACCATAGAGCTAAAAGCATCTTGTTTAAATCAGGTAATCTCTTTGTACTTCTCTTGTTTAATATGCTAGCACAAGAAACATGTTGAATGGAGGGCCTTTACTAATTTTAGTTTTTTAACATTAGAAACTTCTTACATGCCAAACATACACGGATAAAGAAGGTCTCAGGCAGCAGCAGTTGTTGGCATTTATCCCAAGACATCACAAGCATTACGTTTTACCAAGTAAGAGTAGTTGATGGAAAGTTCTCCCCCCCCCCCTCCTCCTCCTCTTCCTGGAAGCTATTTACTGGGTTGGAGCTTTGTATTTTTTTTCTCATTTCCCTTTACTTTTTGTTCTTTTTTTTTTTTTTGCTTCTCTTCCATTGCATTTTTCTCTAAGCCAGATTCTGCCAGCAAGAAGGTACATTTTCGTCCTCAGTTACCAACAGATGCTAGGCAAAACTATTTTCAGGCTAAATCTCGTCTTCAGCCTTCGGGTATAATGTTTCTTAGCAGGCAGGACCTCATCTAATTTTAGTTGTTTTCTGCATTTTTGCAATATACTTTCTTATAGGAGGAAGGCAAGTATCGTGGCACTGATTAATGTTTTTAACTATAGATACTCCTGCATCAAAAACTCTTTCGTGGCATTTATCCTCAGAAACTACTTTGAAAGGGACTTCACAACCTTTAGCCAGGTTAGTTTGGCTTAAAAATTCAACATTGAATGGATATTTTCCTTCCAGTGTGTTCTTCTAATGTTTAGCCGAGAGCAAGAAGTTATTAACATTGCTTACCATGCAGCAATGAAATTTCAAAACCTTCTGTTGCCACTTCTGAGGTTTTCCAATTAGTGGGTATGTATATTAGACTAGTAGCTCATTTATTATTGTTAATATAAGGATTTTAATGATAAAAGAAAGAAGAAATGAAAAAAAAGGAAAAAAAAGGCCTTTGATGCTAAGACTTGTATTTTGACTATAATTCTGGCAGAAAATGGAGATAATGCAAGGACAAAGTCAGCAGCAGCAGCACCTTTTCCTGCTTCTAATGAGCAGGTGCCATCATTGGGTATCATACAAAGGGTAATGTTTAAATCACCAGGAATACATACATGCTTGATGTCCTTTATATAGATTCTATGTTAACACTAGAGTTGATTGATTTATCTTGAACGTTATCTCGATTCCGTTTGGCATATCAGTTGGTCTTTGGTTAGTGAGGCTTTTCGTTTCTTTTTTCATTTGTGATTTCCGGAAAATGTTTAATCGTATTCATTGAACTTTAGAATTTGAAATCTTTATATCCATTCAAAACGATTTACTAGGAACCAACTTTCGGTTCCAAATGGGTAATCCAAATTTCTCTGGGGATATTCCTATGTACTTTGTTGTATTGCATATTTAATATAAAATCTCTGTTATTTTTGGCAGGAATTAGAAGGTTTCAAACCTTTGACAGCATTCAGGTCATTCGGCAACCCAAATCGTCAGATTGTACGTGCACCTGTTAGGAGCAAAAGCGTGCTGTCAGCTTTCTTTGTTAAACAACAAGCAATGAAGCTAAAGGCTGGATATGTTGCATGAATCTCCTTTAAAACGAGCCAATGAAGATGATGGACGACACTCGCATGTAAGATCTCTCCGTTATGCAGATGGGGTTGCCTGTAAATAATTACCCTTCCCACGTTTTCCAGTTGGTTCCCTTATCAATTGTCTCAAATGAAACTATTTTTTTCTCCCTCATTTCTCTTGTATGGATTTTTTTAATAATGATTAATTTGTATAAAATATCTGACAATGAAGATGAGTAGCTCTACCCACTCTCATCACTAATTGGTGCTGCCTTGATCAATAATCCTATAATTTCATTTTTAAAATTAGCTGACTCTATTCCCATATGTAATGGGATAAGGTGGAGTTAGGGTAGTAGGCTGCCCCCAACGTTAGGTTGAGAGCAATTTCCGTAGAAGACCTCCGGCAATTATGAATTATCCACCGTGAGACCCGATCTATCGTCCTGATTTTAAATTAAATAAATAGATGATTATAAGGTAGTACATATTTTTAGTTTATTAATAATGCATACACATATTGTTAATATAATTATTTAAGCTCAAATAATTTTAAGAGAACAATATTTTCTTTTATTTTAAGCTTATGGTACCTAGAGTTCTCCAACTTTTTTTAAAAAAATTAATGGGAGTCTTGAACTATTTTACACTAATCTGCAAATTAAAAAAAATATCTAATGTAGTCATTTGAATAATAATTTTCATTGGCTCTTAACCTTATGGTCGTGGGATCGAGTTTCAAAGTGGACAATTCATAATTGCCGAAGGTCTTCCAAGGAAGTTGCTCTCAACCTAGCGTTGGGGTAGCCTACTACCCTACCTTCCCATTACATATGAGAATAGAATCAATTAATTTTTTTATTTATTGTTGAGTGTTATAATATTTACGTGATAGTTCATGATATAATAATTCATAGTGTTAATATAGTATTTCATGGTGCCTCATGATAACGTAGTAAATAAACTAGGTTAGTTTTTTTAGTTCCAAGATCAAGTTAATTTTTGGGTAAAGTATACAAATAATCCCTTGACTATAGAGTGATGATTTATTGAATCTATTGACTATTGAAGTCACAAAATGATTCCTCGAATATAGAATATTATTTTTTAAGTCTCTCGACTATTAAAAGTTATAAAATGATCACCCAACTATTCATTGTGTTTTAAACTCGTTATTTTTCGTTAAAAATGATGACAATTTGAGCTGTACATTAACATGTTGATTAATACATTATAATCTTTTGAGATTTTGGGATCGGATATTATCATATCCCAATCAACAGGTTAACGTCAAAATCAAACTGTCAATAATTTTTTAACTGAAAAAAATGAGTTTGGAACACAATAAATAGTCAGGTGATCATTTTATAACTTTAATAATTAGTAGATTAAAAAAAAGCAACATCCTAAAGTTAAAATGTCATTTTATAATTTTTAATAGTCGAATGACTCAATAAAATAATATCTAATAGTCGAAGGACCATTTGTACACTTTACTCTTAATTTTTTTAAAGATATATTTATTTTTTTCTGAAAAAATAAAAAAATTAATAACTAAATTTATTAGTAAATGAAATTTTACTGATTTTATACGTTTTATTTAACCCATTAAATCTAAATGGTTAACACAACCCGACCCACAATCATATCCTCCCTTTCAGTATTCAAACTCTAAAGCAACTGGCATACACCATCACCGTTTACAGATCCGATCTCAATATACGATTCCTTAAACTCCGTAAACAAGCTCGTTTGTTGATGAACTTCAGTATTATCCACAACAATGTCATCATTCTTGCACCAACGACCCATCCAGAACCCATTCTCAAACGCCTACCCAATCTCCCCACGTTCTTCATCAACCTCACAAAGACCCATTTCGATCTTCAGTCCAACAGGCCTAACTATTCTCCTCTCGCTCATGGTAATCCTCGGAGTGTTCGCGCCCTGGTCAGGCATGCCTCACTCCATGTTCTCTAACTCAAAAACGGCCTCTTCTTCTATTTCCAAATGGCAAGATTACTCCTTGGCCGAAGCCGCTTCCTTCGTCGCCAAAAACGGTACCTTAATTGTCTGCGCCGTCAGTCAACCTTACTTGCCTTTTCTCAACAATTGGCTGATCAGTATCACCAGACAAAAGCACCAAGAGAAAGTCCTTGTAATAGCTGAGGATTATGTTACTCTCGACAAGGTTAATGAAAAATGGCCTGGCCATGCCGTTTTAATCCCGCCAGCTCTTGATTCACAAACTGCCCACAAATTTGGCTCTCAGGTTCCATTCCTGCTTTGGGTTTTGTTTATTGAAAGTTATCTCTTTTTTTTTTTTAGCATTCTCAACTGATGCTTATTGGGTGCTTGATTTAGGGATTCTTCAATTTTACTGCCAGGAGACCTCGGCATTTGTTGCAAATTTTGAAGCTCGGCTACAATGTTATGTATAATGATGTCGATATGGTGTGGTTGGGAGATCCATTCCCTTATTTCGAAGGAAATCATGATGTTTACTTCACTGACGACATGACTGCAGTATGTATTCTAACTTTGCTATAATAGTTTTTAGCCTGTTTTGCTTTAAGAATTGCTAGTTTCATACTTGGAAGTGTAGATCAGACCAGTGTTTTGATGTGTTATTCAATGCAGGATTAGCCAAAATATTCATTAAGATTAAGCCATTCTATTAGATTAAGCCATTCTATTAGATTATGAGAAATCAATAAACTTTGGCTTATCGACTCGCAACAATTTTTCTGTCACCATGATTGTTAAGCCATGAATGATAGTTAAATTGGATTGTATAACATGGGTGGCTACCCTTATTTATTTTGTCTTGTTTTTCCTTTTCTGAGAAATGGGAAATAGAAGTAAAAGGAATGGAGAGAATGGAACGAAAACCATACCTTGTTCCTCTAGGACTCTAGGCTGCTATGTTCTGGAAATATTTTGCTGACTCTGCTTATTTCTCATAACGTTGCTTCATGCTTCTTCTCTTTGGTTCATCAGGTGAAGCCACTTAACCATTCCCATGATTTGCCACCTCCAGGGAAAAAGGGTCGCCCTTATATTTGTAGTTGTATGATTTTTCTGCGCGCTACTGATGGAGCAAAACTAGTAATGAAGAAATGGATTGAAGAACTTCAAGCTCAGCCATGGTCCAAAGCGCAGAAAGCAAATGATCAGCCTGCTTTTAACTGGGCTCTACTAAAAACTGCCGGAGTGGTATGTTTATGCATCTTCTTGTCTTTTCAATTTTGGGGTTGTAGCATATATGTACCTAATACTTCTCATTTGGAGTTCATACAATATCGAGCACTCGTTCATCATACCATAATTTGGAAAACATTGCTAATTGATGCATGAATTTTCAGTCACGAGTAGTTGCATCTTTTGGCCATCTGTAACATGGAAGTTTGGCTTATCATAATGCTAAAGGAACATCAGTGGTTAATCCAATCTGATATTCTTTAGAAATATATTTTGCTTGTGTCCTTGCATTTCTGGTCCATGGCAAACTATTGCTTTTGGTTTGGGTATGTAAACGCTGTGCTGTCTGAGATTTGTGGTTTTATGGGCCTTCTCTATCTTTGACATTTGTAATGGATGGTGTGTGACCTATTTCTGGTAGCAAGTTTTAGTTTTCTGATAATCATACATTAACAACGTGTTCTGCAGGTGGATCTCTACCTGCTTCCTCAATCAGCATTTCCGACAGGAGGATTGTACTTCAAGAACAAGACGTGGGTGCAGCAAACCAAGGGAATGCATGTCATAATTCATAATAATTACATCCTCGGGTTTGAGAAGAAGATCAAGCGCTTCCGAGACTATGGCCTTTGGTTGGTTGATGATCATGTCCTCGAGTCCCCTCTAGGCAGATTATGAAAAAAATAGAAATACCTAGGGATTGCTTTCTGCACAACCAATTACAGCCTCAACAACCACCCTAAGAGGTGGAACATCTTCTCAAAAGCATCTGCTTGTAAGCTCTTCTCAAAAGCATCTGCTTGTAAGCTCTCGGATAAACATTGATCATTAGGAGCCTGAGAGTGCAGATGAAATGGACCCTTAGCAGCTGAGAATGCTCATTTTCTTGAGCAAAATTCTTTCATTTTAATAGGGTTCAATCAAGGGGCAATTCCAGATCTTGTGTTGAATTTCAATTATAACTTTGTTTTCAGACCTGATGAAATCAATCTATTTCTTCCACATTTGTTTTCCTTGACATAATGCAAATACAATTTGTTTGTCGTATGGTTTTGAATGGATCTCTCCCAGTGATGCAATGATTTTATTTGAAAGGAAAGAGCACATAAAATTTATTAGCCTTATTAAAAATGTGTCGGCCAACAGCAAATGAATGTTTCTGAAAACAGATGCATTGTTTATGTCAATGATCAATTTATTTTAGAGTAGTTACTAGATGAATTTTGTTTTATTAATAAAAAAAAACCCCAAAGATCAATCTTTGTATTTATTGGTGAGGGGGAGAAATAAATATTTAAGAGCCGGTGATAATTTTACCAAAAACATATTTTTAAACAAAAAACGTGAAAGGAAAATCTTAATTATTTAAGTCAATTAAAGACAGAGCAAGCTGATACAAGGGGAAGAGTAATATAGATTCACCCCCTTGCTGCCTTTCTGTCACTGTCCATCTTTGGCAATTCAATGACCATTGAAATCCATCTGAATGCTATACCCCTCTTTTGCTCACAAGCTTCATCTTCCTGTATTAAATAAACTTTTAAACATCACTTGAGTCTTTGCTTTGTTTCCTCTTTTTTCCTATTTAGATTGAGCTTTCTTCTTGGGTTTCAAGGGCTAAGTTTTTTTCTTTTTTTGAATGAGAATGTAAATGGATTCCTTGGAAAATGGGAACTCGTTGAAGAGAGCCGCTAGTAGGAACGAAAGAAACCCGTTCCCCGCCCGACCCAGATCGAGACTTTCTCGGTTTTTGCTTTTCAAGAAGCTGGATTATCTCCAATGGATTTGCACCGTTGCTGTTTTCCTCTTCTTCGTCGTGTTCTTTCA